AAGTGGGCGTTGCTGCCACCTCAGTGCTGGGCCCGTGGCCACAGAGCAGGCTGTGTCCACTCCCTTAGTTACCAGTCTTTCCAGCAGAAAGCATCACTCTGGCCCCCCTGGGTGACGAGCAGAGGGGACTACAATGTGGTCCTGCTCAGTGCTTTGGGCTCCGCCGGGTGTGGATGCAGGTGTGGGCCATGACCCCGTGCCTCAGGGTTTCGTAGCCCCTGCAGGAGAGGGCAGTTTCCTGTGCAGCTGGGGAGGGCGCTCTGAGCAGGGGCACCTTGGGCGGGCAAGTCTCGGCGCAGGAGAGGGTTGACCTGGGTGGGGAGGATGTGGGAGGCTGCAGGTGAGAAACAGTGGTCACAGACACCTGCATGCCAGACCAATCCCGTGTCTGTGGAGAACGGGGAGTCGTTCAGGCCGAGTGTATTTGTTGAGCGCCTGCTGTGTGTCAGGAACCATGTTAGGAATGTGGTAGGAACGTGATTGGCAGAGTAGACCCAGAGGTGCCCACGTCCTCATCCTGGAAGCTGAGAGTGTTTCCCCTTATGCAGCAGCGAGTGATGGCTAAGGCTGCTTGGCAGCTGCCCTTCAGGTGGGAGATAACCCTGGACCATCTGGGTGAGCCCACTGTGACCTCAGGTCCCTAAACGGGAGAGGGAGGCAGAAGAGGAGGTGTCTGGCGATGCAGTGTGACCAGGAGCTGGAAAAGGCGAGAGGACCGTTCTCCCCTGGAGCCTCCAGGAGGGAGCACAGCCCTGCCCACGCCGTGGTTGCAGCCGCGGGAGGCCCATGTTGGCCTTCTGACCTGCAGAACTGTGGGATGACATCTCTGTTTTTTAAGCTGCTGAGTTTGTGGTAATTTGTTACAGCAGCTGTAAAAAGTAACACCTAAGGGAGGCACGCTCCCTGCCCTCAAGAGCTGCCCGGGTTGGCTCCCCAGTCGTGCACAGGGTGCTGAGTGCTGTAGGATAAGTTGCCCAGGGCTGTCTGGGGCTGGGAGGGGTCAGCAGATGAGACTAGGGGGCCCAAAGATCAATCTGAGTTGGCCCGGCAGAGGGGCACACTGTTGAGGACTCGGGTTGTGGGGGTGCCGTGCTCTGGGGGGCATCGAAGACCCCGCCACAGCACAGAATGCCGGAGGGGGCTGAAGAGGGGAGACTGGAGGCGACAGGAGAGCCACTGGGCACAGTGTGGGGAGGGGTGTTGGGGCCGTGGCAGCCAGGAGAGGATGGAGGGGCCGAGCAGGGCTTGTGCTAATGTCCAGGGTGCTGCCCTGGGTGGGACTAGGGCAGAGGCACTGGGCATGGAGAGGAGAGACCAGCAGGGAGGGGACTGCGTGCAGCTGGCGCCTGCCGGAGCCTTTGAGAGCAGGGCTGTGTGACTGCAGAGCTGTGTGGGGTCCAGTCAGGTGCTTAGAAGGGTGTCTGTCACCGGGCAGTGACTGGGCAGTGTCGCCATCATCATCATCTGTAGATGGTCTTTTTCTCTGCTCCTTTGTCGCGTCTTGCCGGCCAGCCTTACACCCTAGGAAGCCCGAGCTCACTGCGCTTGTCCTGTGTCCTGGGCTTGTCCCCGTTCCCGCCCTCCCTGGTACCAGGCAGGCGCACAGTGTGCCTTCCTCTTGGTTCCGGTGAAAGCTGGAGACTGGAAGGCCGAGATTGCTCAGCCACTAATTGGACTTGGAGGGGCTGGAGAGAGGCCGCTCGGGACAGGCCGGTGGGCCTGGCGCGTGGAGAACTTCCGTTTGGCTCTAACGAGGCTGGTCTTCCCCTGTGGACATTTAATGGAGGCGAGGATGGGGCTTGTGGAATGGGTGTGTCTGTGTTGGTGGAAGACAGTGCTAGAACGTCCATCTGGTCCTTGCCTATGGAGGCTGCAGGAGTGGGGATAGGAGCACTGAAAATAGGTCCTGAAGACGTCACTCAGAGAGGCCCATTTCGGGAACTCTGCCCACAGTCTGATTTCTGAGGGCATGGAACCCCAGGGTAGCCGCCCTGAACTGCTGGGTGGACAGGCTCACCCGGGGGAGCGGGTAGGCCACCTGGGGGGAGCCACACTCTGGCTCTGTGACCTTGGGCACAGATAGGCCTCAGGAGCCTCATCTGTAAATGCGGGTGATGGTCCCCACTTCAGGTGGGTGGGAGGGGCCTGTGGTGACTCCTCAGGTCCCCCGGGTTTGTTCATTCATTTGGAAAAGGTGAATCGAGCACAGCCGTGTGCTGGCTCTCCTGGTGCAGCAAAGAACCAGATCAAACTGCTTGTGCCCTGATGGCGGGGGGTGTGGGAGCCCATGGAGGAAAGTGAGGCTGTTGCTGCATGGGGGCCTGGGGCAGGGCGAAGGGAGGGAGGGCAGAAGGATAGTTATGTGACTGGTCAGGAGAGAGCACCCTCACTCCTGAAGGACCTGGGGGAGCAAGGGGCTCCAGGCAGGGGACCAGCCAGCGCACACAGCACACTCAGAGCAGCACGGGGGCCGGTGGACAGAGAGGCTCGGGGAGAGTAGGGTGGCACAGAGTGCGCTGGCAGGCCTGCAGGCCGTGACAAAGACCTTGCTTCACTCCGGGAGACGCGAGGTCCTCGGAGGGTCTTCAGTGGACAGGGATGTGATCTAATGTCCCTGTTGGGATGGTCACTCTGGCTGCTTTGTTGAAAACAGACTGAAAGGGGGGGTTGAGCTGGGTGGAAGCCGAGAGCGGGGGGCTCTGCAATGTCACCAGGTAGAGGGGCAGCTCTGTGCTCACCTTGATGGTGGAACCAGTGGGGTGTGCTGAGGCGTGAGGAGGGGCCTGAGCAGCTGCCCAGGGTGGGCAGGCCATCTGCTGAGCAGGTGGGCAGGGCAGGGCGGGCTGTGGGAGGGAGGTGGACGGGTGCGGGGGCAGGTGTGGAGCTGGCCCTGGGGGTGGGGCTGCCTGAGGGCCTCGAGGGAGTGTGTGCAGCAGGAGAGGAGGGGTTGGCGTTTTCAGAGTGGGAAGATGAGGAACCGGCAACAGAGACTGGGACACCCGAAGTCAAGGGACCAGAGCTTGTTGCGGTGGATCTGGCCAGCCATGTCTGTTTCTTCTGAGGGGTCCGGTGGGGTGATGACCGGGGATGGCCCTGGGTTCTCTGGTGACCCAAGCTAAAAGCCTGCCCGGGGTGGGATCTGCACACACGGGCCGAGGAAGCACAGGCAGCCGCGTTTCTCCCCGGAGGTTACCCTGTCCCTGCAGACCCTCGGTCGGGTGTCCTGCCTGCGCCTGGGGTGCCCGCTCGGGCTCTGCGCTCGTGGCCAGTGTGCGGTCGGCCCTCCGTGTGGGACTCAGGCCCTGCTCCTCATTCCCACGGCAAATGCTGAGATGGCGGGGCACCTGCCGGCCAGGGTGCGGACTGGGCCGACTGCCCCATCGGCATGGTCACTGCACGGGTGGCAAGCGTCTGGAGGAGGGTGCAGTGCCGTGAGAGAAGGCGAATCGCAAGATGCTGAGGGCTCAGGGAAGGCCGGCTTTTGGTGGAGGTGGCGTGAAACTGCTGCGCACAGGCTGAGGAGGGGAGGGCTGCCCAGCAGAGGGAAGACCCCAAGGGAGCCTCTGAGGAGGGGGAGCCCGCACCCCAGGGGGCTGGTGCAGAGAACTCAGAGGGCCTTGTGGGCAGTGGGACGGCCGGACTCTGATGTATGAGCAGTAGGAAGCCGCAGAAGGGTTTAGGCCGGGGGCCATCCAGCCTGCACCTGAAATGTGCCGTTCATGAGGCCTGTTGGGGCTGTCCCCAAATCCAGGGCGGGGGGCCTGTCCGAGCCGCGTTGCTGAGATAGCCTGTGGGGTGGTCTGTGAGGAGGGCAGTCAGTCAGCAGGTCTGCAGCCCTGTCGGAGGCTGTGGGCCTGCGAGCGCGCGAGGTGTCCTGGACACACGAGTGCTCTTGTCCCCTAGTGGGCCTCTCTCTGCCTTCGATGGTTTGGGGTGTCCGGCTGGGCTGTCCCATGTCCTGTGCTTGACACGGGCACTGCCTCCATGCTGGCTGGATTTCCCCCGCAGTCTTCCTTGGGGGAGCAGGTTATGCTGACCACCGCACTGGGCAGACAGGCGGTTTTCCTTTCAATTGAATTATAACGCATATCCATACTTCCGTGTAACCTCCACTAGACCAAGACGAAGACTAATCGCGGTACCCCAGAATCCTCCTCGTGTCCTCTGAGTTCGTAACCTTCCCCAGAAGAACCTGTGCTCGCCTCTGTCACCGTAGCTTAGTTTTGCCCGTTCTTGAACCGGATATAAATGGAAACATGGAAAATCCCATAACAGCGTTTGCTGTCTGACTCATTTTGCTCAGCGTTACGTCTGTGGGTTTCGGCCACGTGCGCAGCAGCAGTTCATGGCTTCCTCGCTGTCTGGGTTCCCCCGCTTGAGTGTCACAACTTACTCATTCCACTGTTGACCCACATTTCCGTTATTTCCAAGGTTCGGCTGTTCTGAGTAAACTGCCAGGGTGGGGCTGGTCCTTGCTGGTGTTGTCTTGGGTGTATACCCAGGAGTGGATTCCTCGGATCACGGGGCATACTCAGGTTTAGCTTTAGTAGTTACCCGGTAGACATAGATTTCATTGTGAATAATTAACTGGCTGGTGAATCATTCCACTGGACCCTCATGGCTCCTGGGTAAATGAAAAGTTCAGCTTCTGGAAGCCTCAGGACTGAGAATCATCCGTTTATTACAATCCTTGCACCCCTGGGGTGGCAGGTATGGCGAGTCCTGTTCTCTTCTCATGACAACCTTGAGAAACACCTCCTGCCCCTATTTAGTGCCAAGAAAAGAGGAACTCAGAGGCGGGCTCGGCCCTGGTCACCCGGAGAGGTGGGACTCAGGCCCAGGTCTTGCACCTCGGCCAGTGTTCTTCCTCTAGACTCAGGCGCTCTTGGGACCCCGCTGTGGCCCTTCAGCCCCTCCTTGGGCACAGGCGCTGACCTGAGGACAGGGCGGGCCCGTGGGCCTCCTCCGAGCGCCCCTCACCTCGGCTTCTCTCCCTCCAGGCACAAGCTTGCTGCAGGAGGTGGTCTACTTGGTGAGCCAGGGGGCCGACCCCGACGAGATCGGCTTGATGAACATCGACGAGCAGCTCCCAGTCTTGGAGTACCCGCAGCCGGGCCTGGACGTCATCAAGGTTCTCTCTGGGCAGGCGGCTCCCAGCCCTGGAACACCTCTGGGGCGTTGCTGCGCTTGCAGCCTGAGTGACAGTTGCTCCTGTGGGCTCAGGGGGCCCTGTGGGTGGAGGGAGAGCACAGTGCCCGGTACTCCCAGGCAACCAGGAGAGAGACTGACAGGCCTGAGCCCGTGACAGTGACCCTGAGTGGGATCAGCGGGTGACGTGGGTGACTTCAAGGTAGAAAGGAGGCAGGAGGGAGTAGGGGGTCCGGGAGTCGGGGGACGGGAGGTAGTGTAGGGGCCCTGCCACATCTGCCCTCCCGCCTCCCCACTGGGGCTCACCCTGTCTGTTGAGGGAGCTGGGTAGGATGTGTTTGCGTCTAATATTTGGTACCAAGAATGAAATGAGCATCTCCCCAGCATCCTGTCCATCCTGACCCCTCAGAGGCAGTTCCATTTCTCTCTCCACCCCTCCCTTCTGCCACCTCTTTAGTTCAGGCCTCATTTCTTACGTGGACCGCCTGTCCATTCTCCCACTAGATGAGCATCTGAAATACAGCTCTGATTGGGCCCCCTGATGTCATTGCTCCCCAAATAAGGTCCACAGTCCTATGTGAGCCGGTCTCTGCACCCCAACTCTCTTGTTGCACCTGGCCCCCTCATACCCCTGTGTATGGCCATGTAGATTCACCCTTCTTGGGCTTGCCCACTGGGTCCTTCAGTAGAGCTGCACCGGGCACCCACTGCGTGCTGCCTTGGCATTGGGATACGGCCAAGAATGAAACTGACGTGATGTTACAGCCTCAGAGCTGTCATTCTAGGGAGGGAGACAGGAGAGGGGAGGTAAGAAGTTATAGTGGTTAAGTGGTCAGCACCAGACGGGGAGCAGAGTGGGAGCAGCCTTCTTGGTGGGGACGTCTGAGTAAGGCCCCGAAAGAGGAGAGGGCAGAGCTGGCCGAGGGAGGGGCCTGGCATGTTCTGGGAGCAGCAGGCAGGCTGCGTGCAGAGATGTCTGGGAATCCTGCAGCTCCCTCTGCACCAGGTGCCTCCTGCTTCCTCTCTTGCCCTTTAAGGACTGTCCCTGGGGCCGTTCCTGGCCACTCCAGGCCGGGTCAGTGGCTCCCAAGTCCTCTGAGCAGACCCCTGTGACCATTTAGTTTGACTGAGGCTGTGGGCGCCCCACGACAGGGACCGTGTCTCGCTCACGTCTGTCCCCAGGGTCCAGCCTGGAGGGTGGTCATGTCTCAGGTGAGAGTGTCAGGTGCGGTGCTGGCCCTGACGCTGTCTGCCTGGGCACCGTTCACAAGGCCCTGAGACGAGACCAAAGTGAGCGGCCGTGTGTCCTCTGATCTCCTCTCCCTCTGGCCCCGCTGCAGGAGCTGACGTCTCCCCGTCTCATCAAAAGCCACCTGCCCTACCGCTTCCTGCCCTCCGACCTCCACAACGGTGATTCCAAGGTAACCCGCCCCTCCGGGGCTGAGCTCCAGACAGGCAGAACCATGAGACGGTGGTCTGGCGCAGGCCCGAGTTCCCTGAGAGCCTCGATGCCATGCGGCCCCGTCAGAGGCCGTCTTCCAGCCTGTGCTGCCGGCCTGTTTCCATGTTTCTGATTTTGGCTTTTCCTACGTTGACCTTAGGCTCGACCTGTCTGAGCGCAGCCTCTTGTCCCTTCAATGCCGAGGACTCGCAGCCGCTTCAGTTTCTGATTTTCCTTATTTTCTCAGTCGCGTTAGGTTTATGAGGCCCATAATGCTTTCATCAGTGTCAGGACTGTAATTTTTCTTTCACTTATTTTAAAGAAGTGCTGGAGGACAGAAACATCATAAAACTCTCAAGTGATGGTCCTAGCAGATGCCATCGCTTGGACAAGAGTACATCTGCCGGAACAGAGGGTAGCGAGAGAGCGTGGGCCGTGGCGCTCGTGGGGCTGCCCCTGATGCTGGGAGCCGTGCCGGTTCACAGTGCAGGAGAGTGGGAGGGAGGTCACACGCACCGCACGGGGCGGCCTGCCAGGGCCTAACCCCGTCCCGCTGTCCCTCCCTCCCTCTTTCCTGCCTCAGGTCATATACATGGCTCGGAACCCCAAGGACCTGGTGGTGTCCTATTACCAGTTCCACCGCTCCCTGCGGACCATGAGCTACCGAGGCACTTTCCAGGAGTTCTGCCGGAGGTTCATGAATGATAAACGTAAGTGTTTGCGTCTGCACGGACGTTGCAGTAGTGACACTAGTGCTCGTCCAACGCCCGTCTGTGCTCGAGCTTTCTTCACGCTGCCCCCAGTTCTTACAATGACCATGACCACGCGGGTGGGGCCTGCTCTCCCGCATAGGTGAAGCAGCGGGGGCTGAGGGTCATCAGGAAGCTTGTCCGAGGTCGTAGCTAGGGCACGGCAGAGTGGCCGCCCAGCTGAGAAGCCCTCCTCTCTCCCACGTCGTCGGGGTCCTGAGAGGTTCCTCAGTTAAAAGCATCTTCCTGCCTGGATTCTGAACAGTGAAAACAGGGTCCCGACATCTCTGTCATTGGTGACAGTGGAGGCCGTGGCTTCGTGTGAGAGCCACATGGCCACTGGCTTGACTTAAGCATTGGGCAGGCTTGGCCCCCAGCCCCAGGCCAGTGTGATGGGGCGGGGTATGCTTTGGGGAGGGGGAAGGCAGTGCTGTGTGCTGGAGGCTCCTTCCCAGAGGAGAAGGGTGAATCGGGGCTGGGAGTGCCAGGGCCCTTCCGAGTCTCCCCTCCCTGGGGAGGAGCGGGCCAGTCACATTGCTGCCCTGGACTAGGGAGGAACCTGTCCCCTTGGTGCGGTCAGCAGCTCCTCCCTGCCGTCCCGTTCCCCCTGCCTGAGGTGGCTTCCCCATTGCCAGCCATGGCAGAGAAGGTACCCGTCTGGGACTGCAAGTGGCTGGTTTAGAGTTTGCACCCAGAAGAGCTTTGAAATGGGTCACATTCCTACTTCAGTTAAACCTGCACGAGACTCTTCGATACCCAAGGCTGAAAATACCCTTCCTGTTTAATTTCCCAACTCCGGTAACAGCCTCGTTGTCTGCTTGTCCAACCCCGTCAGGGGTTCTGCAGTGAGGTTGTGTGACACGATTAGGATAAAGTGCACAATGGAAATCCCAGAATTCAGTGCCCCAGGTTCAAGTGGAACTCAGGGCAGCCGAACGAGGGCTGCTTCCCGAGCCTGGTGAAGACCAGACCCTCATCAGTGCACGAAGCCCACGCTGCCCGCAGGGCCTCCCGTCCTGGAACCGCTCTCTGTTCCCTACCACTGAGTCTGCTTCAGCTGTGCCTGGGGAGGTGGGGCCCCAGGGTCGGAGCGGGGGGTGGGAGACGGCAGCAGCTGCACCCTCGGGCCCCTGGAGCCTGCTGAAGGCTCTCGGTCCAGCCTCCCTTCCCCCCAGCCTGCCCACCGTCTGGCTCAGGCCCTCGTGGTCTGCCAGGCTTTTGGAGAAAGCCACTCTCCAGGTTCCCAAAGCCCGCGTTCCTGCCTCTATCGAAGCAGCCGCCCACGTGGGGACAGCGCCACCATAGTGAGCAGGTGTCTGAGTTCAGACTGCCACGTGGTGTAGGGCTTGGACCTTCCTGCTCAGGCCAGAGCAGTGAAGTTATCCCAGAACAGACCTCCCCACGTTTTGAAGGTCACAGCACTGCCCAGCATGGAAGTTCAAGGCCACACACGCCATGGTCTCCACGTGGGCATGTAGCTTTCCCACGTTCTCTTCACCCTCACTGTTCCCAGCCAGTCACCAAATCTTGGTTCTCGAAGGAGACTTCTTGCCTTCTGTCCGAGGTTGTGAAGAATTTGAAACTTAAGGTGCAGAAGGGGCAGTGAAATGCTGCGTTGACTAGTGGAGCAAGGTCGGAGGGGGCGTGGGGTGGCCTGAGCCCTCCAGGCAGCGCCCAGCCTGTGCGCGCAGGCCCAGGAGAAGCATGGGGGAGATACGCCGTGGGCAGGACCCCTCCTGGAGGGGCAGAGTGAGCTGTTCCTCTCCCCAGTGACCCTCTGGGGTCAGCGCGGTGATGGCCGTGTCCCCGAGTGCAGTGACCCCCTCGTCCTCCCTAAAGCGGGGGTGTGCTTGGCTGTGGGTAAGGCCTGCCCTGTGTGTGTCCCCCTGGGTGCAGGAGAAAGCGGGATGTGCCGGGCTGGCTGTGGGCAGGTGCTGAGGCCCAGGTCGAGGGCCCAGTAGCCGGAACCTCTGCAGTGAGGAGAGCGAGGCCCAGGCGGGTCGGGGTTTGCCCAGCAGCAAGTCTCAAGGCTTTTTGGCTGAATCCTTGTTCTTTTTGCTCCGTTCCTTTCTGCCCATTTGTCGGTGTCGCAATCCAATGTACACATCAGGATAGATGCGGAGAGGGCTGATGGCCACTCTGAGTTTATTATAACCAGCGTTTCAATATACACATAGCTTACGTCTGTTAAACATACACAGGTGTTCTGGATGAAGTAATTAGCGAATGCCAAGAATTCTTAGTGATTTCTCAAGGAGCCCTCCCTTGGCCTCTGTTTTGATATTATCATGTTATTGCTGTGTTCGTATATTTTATCTTGGAGCATGCAAGACCTCCTAGGCAACGGCCCCTCCTGCTCCCAATATCGTGTCTCCATCTGTGCCCCTGGGCGACCCATTCCTGTCTTAGGTTGCCTCCCCCTGGAGGTCTTACCCGTCATTGGCTAACCGGCCTTCTCACCTCCAGGTCACAGTTTGTTGGCAAGCTTTTTCCAGTGATTATTAACCCTTCCTGCGTCAGGGGCAGCTACACCATTTACCCACTCCCTGTCCAGAGCCCCTGCTTCATCCCTTATAAAGCGCTGGCCAGAGCCTAGTTGGCCCCATGAGGGCCTTTTTGTTGTCAAGTGGTCCTCGTGGCCCACCCCTGAGCGGCCCTGACCTGACTGACACCTGGATCCCTTAGGACTCCTCATGGGGCCCTGGCGCCCAGGCTGCTGCCGTGCTGCCACCTGCTGGTGAGATGGCAGACTGACTAGGCTGGCCAGGTACCCTGGAGAACTGGATCCCCGTTTCTCCACCTCAGTCACACACTTGTCTGAGAGGTCGTCAGCAGCTTGGGGGTGGAGGCTGCATTCTGTGCTTGAGGTGTGACTCTGGTAGGGGCAGTAGCAGTCCCCTGCCACTCCTGGGCCTCAGTGTACCTCGGCTGTGCAGGTAGGTCCTGTTACTGGCAGGCGCCCTGCCCTGACTCCCTCGGAGCCTGTGCTGGGTGCTGCCAGAGTGGAGGAAGCACGTGCTGCCCTGCAGGCACCTGCCGAGGACTGTGCTCTCGGCGCTTACGGCACCCACGGTGCAGGTGCAGGCGGAGCCTCAGCAAGGTCCAGCCTCCTGCCCAGCTCACATAGCCTTTCAAGGACCAGAGAGGCTGGCTGCCTCCGTCCAGAGCCCTTGTCCTTTGCCGTTTCACTCTGCTGCCTCCGTCCTATCTGGTCTTGTCCCTGTGCTTCTGAACCTTGACGGCCCTCCCATTTCCCAGGCTGTTCAGGCCCCTCCCAGCCTCCCCTCTGCACTGCCCCCTCCCTGCACTCCCTTCCCCTCCCCCTTCCTTTCAGACCCCTCGCAGCCTCGCCTCTGCACTGCCCCCTCCCTGCACTCCCTTCCCCTCCCCCCTTCCTTTCAGACCCCTTGCAGCCTCCCCTCTGCACTGCCCCCTCCCTGCACTCCCTTCCCCTCCCCTCTTCCTTTCAGATCCCTTGCAGCCTCCCCTCTGCACTGCCCCCTCCCTGCGCTCCCTTCCCCTCCCCTCCTTCTTTTTCTTACCTGCTTGACCCTCACTGATCCTTCAGGTCTTGTCCCAGTGTGGGAGGGGCCCTCCTGTTCCATGGTGCCCCCTCTGGGGCATTGGTCACACAACAGTTGGCCACACGGTATTGCCATTGCCCGTCCTTGTGTTGGTTTCTTGCCAGGACGGGAGCTCCTCGAACCCTAGAACATGCAGTGGCATTTGCAGGGCCTAGTTAGGTAGATGACTCCTGGGTGAGGAAGGGTGCAGGCAGCATGGCCACCACTTGTGGCCGCCCCTCTTAGCTGGACGCGCTTCCCATTGCCCAGCAGGGCCAGGGTGTACCACATTCTGTGGCCGAGGCCTTGCTCTGTGCTAGGTGGAAGCCCCCTTGGAGACTCCCACAGGAACCCTCATGCTGATGGTGCCGCAGTGTGAACGAGCGGTGAGAATCAGTAGTCTTCATAAAGAATGTCACAAAGCAGCCTAGCCACACTATTCAGTGTGTCACCCCCCGTGACCCCAGCCCCAAGCGCTGAGGAGCGTAGGAAATACTCTCGGGCATTAGGACGGGCGCACTGCCTCCCTGCAGCACTGGGACGTCCTGCTTCTACCTGGGGCTCTGCCTGGCGCCCTTTGCCTGGTGGGGCCCCTTGCCCAGATGTGTCGTAGAGCCTCTGCACCCCGTCCCAGCCCTGCCAGCAGAACTGGCCCTGCATCCTGTTCCTCTGGGCATCCTCTTCCCAGTGACCAGGTGTTAAACAGAGAAGCTCGTGGGGGCCAGGTGCTGTCCACACCCCAGGGGAGCAGAAGTCCTCACACACAGTCAGGTCTTGAAGGCGTCCAGAAGGTAGGGGACAGGGAGGGCCTGAGGACTGTGGGCAGGAGAGACTGGAACAGAAAGCGAGGCGATGTGGGACCTCAGAAGGCTCATCTGTGGGGCTGCCTGTGAGCACGAGGTTGCTCTTTCCTTCCTGAGTCATGGCACTGGGCAGTAGGAGGGGAGCCTTCCGGAAGGCAGGGAGTGAGGCCACTCCATGCATGCGTGCTTCCTCCCCCGAGGCGCTGTCACTCACTGTCCCCTCGTCTCCACAGTGGGCTACGGCTCCTGGTTCGAGCACGTGCAGGAGTTCTGGGAGCACCGCATGGACTCGAATGTGCTTTTCCTCAAGTACGAAGACATGCACCGGGTGAGTGTGGCGGGATGTGCCCGAGGGCGCGCGGGGCCTGCTCACCCTGTGAACGCCGCAGGGGAGTAACCGCGGTGTCCAGCACCGCCCCTCCAAGGCCCTGGGCTTCAGGGACGAAAGTGGGACTCAGGAGTGGGCCACTGCTTTCCCTCCGGCCTGTGCTGGCCGCCCCGCCCCCAACCAGGTCCCTATCCCTAGTTCTGCCTCAGCCCCCACCCCAGGGCAGCTTCTGGGTTGGTAACAGGGGGGCTTTAGAAAGCCTGGTTCATCGTTTTCCTGCCCTGACAGTAGGAGTGGAGCAACAGCCAGATGCCCTCCTGCCGCCCGGCCCCTCTCCCAGTGACCAGCTCGGGGCAAAGGGTGGAGACGGCAGCGTCCACATTTCTCTCCTGTCAGCCTGTCTGCTTTAGAGCAGCAGTTCTTGAACTGCTGACAGACCCTGTGGGTTACCCGTGGATCGATTCATGTGACGAGCGCCTGGCACAGAGCGTGGGAAGGAAGTGGGCGGTTGTGGGATGAGTGTGCCCGGCCAGGCGGTGACGATGGAGCAGTGACGGAAGCAGGACCTCCTGTGCCCTCGAGAGCTCGTTGTCTGGAATGGGGGCCGACGTGTTGTATGCCATGTCGTCAGCAGTGTTGTCATCAACACTTTTACAGGCCTTGCTGTGTGCCAAGTCCTGTCTGAAGTTCTTCGTGTGTGTGTTAGCAGCTGATTCTAGAGCGGCGTCACCCTCTCTGCTGGGGCTGCCGTCTATGGAGGAGCATCCTCATGTTTCTCCTTTCTCACGAGAAGCAGAAGCCAGCCTTCCCCAACCCCCTCCCTCTCCGCTTCTTCCCATTCTCCGCCCGCTTTACCGTAGAACCCCTCAGAGTCGTCTCCACTCCTGGGCCCGCTCCAGCTGCTCTGTCAGGTCACCCGTGACCTCCGAGTTGCTCAGTCCAGCAGTCGCTGCTGGGTCTCAGCTCACGCGGCCTCCTGCCACCACGTGATGGGCCATCTGCCCCTTCCCCTGCTTTCTAGGACGCTGCACTGTCTTGCGTCCCCGCGTCCCTGGCTGCTCCTTCTCCTTGACAGCACACCTGGGCCTTAGCCTTCAGTCCTCGGCTCTCTTCTCTTTCCATCCACACCCCCTCCCCTGGTGACCTCATCCATTCTTTGGTCATTAAATACTCTCGAGACACAGAGCCCCCAGGCCAGACGTGGACCTCTCCAGACTGCATCTCCAGCAGCCCACCGCCCCTTTCTACTTAGACGTCTGGGAGAGGTTGCAAACTTAATGTGTCCAAGCCAACCTCTGGAGCTTCCCCCTCAGTTCATCCACACTTTGTCCCATCTGAGTTCATGGCAGCCAGCTGCATCCTTTGGGT